GTGACTGGGGGAGCAGAGGCAGGAGAGGATGGGACATCAGCCACAGCAGGTGTGGCACAGGAACTGGAGCTGATAAAGGAGGGAACAGCAAGCATGAGGGGAAGAGAAGAGTTCGTGGAATGGAGCAAGCAGATGTGAAAAATACAGTAACTAAACACCCTAAAATACAGTAACTTTTTAAAAAATGTAGACTGGTTAAATCATAGATTAAACAGAAATGAAGGGAGATCCAGAGAGATAGAGAAGCAGAGTGCAGGAGCTGGAGGCAGAGAGAGAGAGAGAAAAAGAGAGAGAGAGAGAGAGAGAGAGAGAGAGAGAGACTGTTGGGAAAATTAAGAGGTAAGATGTATGTCTTGTTGCAGGTCCAGGAGATGGAAGAGTAGAATCAATACTCAAAAAGAAAATGCTCGAATTTTCCAGAAATGAGGAAACCTTCACAGATTCCTAAAGATTCCCTTTATCAATTCACATCGAAGTGTTGCAATGAAACTTCAGAGCCCCAAGAGCAAATTCCCAAACCCCTGGAGAGAAAACCCCAAGAGCACCCCCCAGCAAGGGTAGAGCAGCCAGAGGAGTGTGGGGTCCCTCCCTGACCCACGCGGGGAGGGAAGAGGAGAGAGCTCTGCCGGCCTGGAGGAAGCATTGAGATTTAGAATTCTTGCCGGTTCCATGAATGTTGAGGTGCAAGGGAAAAACAAAGAAAGGTTTTATATACACAGATTTGAAAGGTTAAGATGATCACAGTGAGATGTGTGACTTGTTGACAGAGCACATGCCGACAGTGAGAGAACTCCTGAGGAAGGGGCAGGAGGCCCCGGTCATAGTGAGGACGTGGTGGCCAGTGACACGTGTGTCCACTGCAGAACGAGATGACATGATGATAGCAACGCTGAGACATCATGCGTGAGTGGGTTTGCAGGCCGTGTAGGAATAAGACTGCTTCATCATGGGAGCTGGGAAGTTCGCAAGGAAGTTTTATAAAATTCTTGCCATATCTGCAAAGGGAATGGAGAGGTTAATTTTACACTTGTATGCACAATAGAACTTGAAGAGTGCATGTAAAATTCTAAAGGCAAAGACACAAATAATAAAAGCATAATGAGTAATCAAAGACAAAGAGATAGGATGAGAAAAGAATATTTGCCACAAAGATCAAAGCAGCAGAAATATGTTTGAACATATAAAAATCATAAATTATAGAAATAGACAAAATTAAATGACAGATGTGAACAGACAGTATCCACCGATTTGGCATTTTCAAGAAAACACATTTAAAGTATAAGCAGGTAAATTTTTTTTTTTTTGGTCTTTTTGAGACAGGGTCTTGCTATGCAGGTCGGGCTGACCTTGAGCTCACTTTGTAGCCCAGGCTGGTCTCGAACTCCCAACGATCCTCCTGCCTCAGCCTCCCGAGTGCTGGGATTACAGGTGTGCACCACCACACCCAGCTAAGCATGTAAAAATTTTGTAAGACATGAGACTATATGCCAGGTAAATACTAAAATAAAGTAATGAAGAAATAAGATAAAAATAGGAAAAGAGGACACATTTTATAGGAAACAAAGGCTTCCCCAGGAAATCTTGTCGGTAATAGTCGAATGCATATAACACAGAAGTACAGTTCACGAACTAGAGCAAAATCTGACAGTGAGGCAAACGACAGTCGCAGGGACAGGAGGAGCTGTAACCCACTTCTTTCACAAAATGGCTCCAACGAAAACTTAGCAGTTGGGAAAACATAGCAGACAGCTTCGATCTGACAGTTCTGTGTAGAATTTTGCACTGGACACAGAACACATTTTTTTCAAGATTATGTGGCGCTTTAAAAAAAATCCCATGTAGACCTCAAAAACAATTCAGATTTCAAAGAATTTATATTGTAAAATTATCTTCTCTGACTGTAGTGCAATAAAATTAGAAAGCAAAGAGAAAGACCTCAAAAGCCCTTCATATTTATGAAATGGCTAGGAAAAATATATTAGTTTTAAAAATATATGTGTTGTAATCCATGAGTTATAAAACCATAGTGAAAGAAATTAAGAAAATGAAATAAGCGTGACACTTTAAAAAATATGGAATACTGTTAATCAGTTCTCAGAGTGAAATGTAGAGCTTTCAGTATGTTTATTATAAAATACCAAAATTCAAACATCAATTAGCTGAGTAGTCAATTCAAGTACAGAGGAAAAGTTCAGCAAAGCAAACTGGTGGTTTGTTCCTTTTCCAATTCTTTTTTTTTTTTTTTTTTTTTTTTTTTTTTTTTTTTTTCTCCGGTACCGGGGACCGAACTCACGACCTTGCGCTTGCCAGGCAGGCGCTTTGCCCGTGAGCTAAACCCCCAGCCCTCCTTTTCCAATCCTTGAATTGGAAAGATGCTACCTCTGTAAGCACTGCTTCCACTGCATTTTCTCATCTTTCATTTCTTCTTTGGTGCAGGTTAGTAGTGAGCCAGGTCTTCCTGTCCTACTCTATGTCCTCAGCTTTTCTAGCTTTCTCATATTTTAGTGTCTTTGGATTGCAAGTTTTAGCTGTTTCTTCAGACCTGCTTTCCAGTTCATTAATTCGTTCTTCAGTTATGTCTAATCTATTGCCAAAGCCATACTTTGTGAATTTATCTTTGATTTTTATGCATTCTAGGTACAGACATCAGGTGATTTTCCAGACTGCTTGTACCATTTTTATAGTTTCCTGTTCCCTGCAGATAACTTCCAAACGTGAATTTTGTCTTTGCACAGTGGTAACTGTAGCCCAGGTTTTGAATAACTTTGCTATCAGGTCTTCCTAGGCTTGTTTCTGTCGCCTACTCTTTCTTTTTCACAGTGCCTGTCACATGCATGTGCACGTGTGTGTGTGCATGCGTGCGCACGTGCATATCAGGCTGTCTTGGAGTGAGTATTGGCCATTGCACTTGAAATATCATTTGCAAAGATAGTATGAGCCTAAGATGAAGGCTGTTCCAAGGGGCTTCCCATTTCTCTGTCACATCTTTGGTGACAACTCTTGGGGGTGATGTTCATCCCTGTTACAGTTTGGAGTCACCAAAGCGAGCTTGGTGACCCTGTGCCGAGAGCTCTGGCTCCAGGAGCTCGCTGTGGACTGTTACATATTCAGAGAGGTATCTTTAGTGGCTGCAGTTAGCACGGTCTGGTTCCTAGTTGGAATTTGCCCTAGGGCATGCCTGGGCTGTGACACATGTCCCCTTTCCTGTGAATTGGCCAGAACCACTGCAGAGTCTCATGGTTCTTTGGTGGAGGAGGGGGATGGAGTGCTTAGCAAATGCTCTTTGAGATAGGGGTCTACCCTTCTGGATTTCTACGTTTTCCTTGGAATCCATGGCAGTACATTGTAGGAAATCCTGAGCTCCTGCCTAATCTCTATCCCTCCTTCCTCGGCTGTTCTGTGCCCTAGAGTTCTGGGAAAGCACCCTGACTCCTTTGATTGCCTCGGTAGCAAACGCCCACTGGCATCTTCTGAACGTTTTGTTATCTCAAAGCTAGCATTCCAAAGCCAGGCCCTTGATACTCCCCACCCTGCTCACACAGGACGCACACTTGCCCGTTCTCTGTCTTAGTGCTTTGTGTGATGCACAGCCGGAACCCTAGCCCTCAGCAGTGCCCTTCTCTACAGGGACTCGAAAGCCACCATCTTGCTCCAAGCCGCCAGCACCACTCCAGTTCCCAGGCGCTGCCGTCCTCTTAGGCTGCTTCAGACCCCACCCAAATGCGCACAGGACGGGCTGCCCTTGCGAGGCACACCACTGTTGTGTCAAACCCCAGACGCTGTGAGCATGATCTTTGAGGTGTCATTGAATCCTCTCTCCCTGCCTCCCCCTTTCCGCAGTGCCATTCCTTCAACTTGGATAAGGTCATCCCACTGGCTATGACACTGATGATAAGACAAGACCCCCCGCCCCAAAGCCTGCCACTGTGTCTGCTGACTACTTCTGGGTGGGCGGAGCTACAGCTACCACAAGGACCTCTTGCTCCACCTGGAGTTCACTAGGGGCCTTTCTGTGCCTCCACTGGGCCAGCGTTCCTCACTCTGGTGCCACATCCTCAAGGATCTTCCCTGCCCACCCAGTGACAGTCGCCAGCCCTGCCCTGTGTCTGACCTGGGGGAGACACATTGTTCTTTTCCTTTTTGACAGTTGTATCAGTCATTTTTCTTGTGGCTGAGACCCAATACTCAAAACCTGCAACTTAAAGGAGGACAGGTTTTTGTTGGTTCACAGTTTGTCGAGATTTCTGTCCATGTCAGCGGGCTCCAAGGCAGGGCAGTTTGGCAGAGGGGCCTGGTGGAGGAGAGCTGCTCACAGCATGGTGGACAGGAAGCAGGGAGAGGAGGGAGGTGAACCCTTCCAGGTCACACCCCAGCGACCACCTCTTCTCTTCAGACCCTGCCTCCTGTCAAGTCACCTCCCTGCTCTAGTCACCTTCCGCAAGCCTGGCCTCTGAGCACACGAAGCTTTGGGGGACGTTGAGAGAGACCATGACCAGAGTCATCCCTATCTGCAGTGGTCTGCCTGCTCTTCTGTTTTCTCATTTACTGTCTTCTAGACTGGGATGGGCCTGTTTTGTCCTAGAATAAATGTGACGCTGAGAACTACCCAGCAGGCACATGTTTGTGGTTGTTAAAAATGGGGAAATTCCTGTGTGTTTCTTGCGTTGTTGCATTCTCAGACACTCAAGTTGCATGTGAATATGTAAAGGGTTTTCAGAAAAAGGAATGGGAAGGGACAAGGTGGGGTAGGGTGAGTGCTGGGAGAGTTTCTTCCTCTGCTGGAAGGTGCTGGTGAGAACCCACAGCCACATCACCCTGAGCCAGAACATGTGGTGCCCACGGCCTGGGCACCGGTCCCTGCATCACTGGCCCTGCTCACCAGCCTCTCCCTCCCCGGGCCCTGCAAAGCTTTCCTTCTCCCCAGCAGCTCTCAGCAGTTGCACGGTTCTAAAATTGTCTTGTCTCACAGAAGGACAAATGCTATGTGTTGCCACTTCCAGGACACACCCAGAGGAGACAGATTCGTGATGAAAACAGACTGCAGGGGCCGGACGGGAGGACAGAGAGCTGCTGGCGAGCACGCATGGAGCTTTGCTTTGAAGTAGTAAAAGGATTTTTGGAAATACGTAGTGGAGACAGTTGCACAGAATGGTGAATACAATTAATTAGATGTAATCATCCATTTAAAATGGTTAAAATGGCAAATTTTGCTATTTCTACTTTACTATAGTTTTAAATTTAATAAGGTAATATAACAAAACCCAACATGTTACACACTTTAAATGAGTCAACAGTATAACATGTGCATTATTTCTCAACATGGCAGGTTTTTTTCAAAGAGAAAGAGCCACAAGAAACATACTGTTTTCAATTTGTTAGTGTCTGATTCTTTCCGATAGTTACAGGCTGCATTTTGTCCTTAAATGTTGACAGATGAGTATTGTAGGTAGATATTAAGCCCTTGGGAAGTGTTTATTCCATTAATAAGCAAGTAAAGGAAGGAAGGAAAACATTCAGATGTGTAGATTTTAGAACTTCAGCTGGAACGTGGCAAGCGGTACTTCCTGATTACCCTTGGTGCTCCACTCTCATTTTACGTTAGGTTTATTTTTTCCGATCAGAAAATGAAAATAAAGTGAAAACGAGTTCTTAATTTTTGACCTGGAATGATGAAGTGTTGGCTTCTGTGATAGAAAGTCTCAAAGCAAATAGGGAGAAGAGAGGGAGGCAAGCTGGAAGTCTCAGGCCAAATTCCTAATTATCCCCGGATCACATAACTCATGTTTTAAAGGAAGGAGAGACTGTGTTACGAATGGAGATCCAAGGACTGTGTGAGCCACGTCTTTCTGGAGCTGTGCTGGTGACCCCTGGGTGAGTGGTGACCTGAGCTTGCAGACTTTTGCTGCCCTCTGTTCTGCAGGTTAATCCTTCACTTTTACCCGGGGTGCTGCTGGAAGGAAATTGATATGTGTCACGGTTCTCCCACGCAGACTACAGCCCGACGTTTTACTCGAGTGTGACTTGGCGCTAATGTGTTCATTTACTGGTGTCTTTAGAAGCATCCGATTTCTTGAGGGCCTTCTTCACAAATCAGGAGGAATAGATCTTTAGTGTGTGCACAAAGGTTAGACTTCAATACGAATGGTAGCAATCCCTAATTTACACTCAGGCTGGAGTATTTTAAGATGGCTTACAAATTTATCTTCTAAAATAAGAAAATATTTTTCTATGATAACACTGCCAGGAAAGGTTGTCAGGTTCCCAGGCTCCCCCGAAGAAAATGATGCAGTTGTTCAGTTTCGGGGATTAGAGTCGCACATCATAGATGAGCTTGGAGTATGGGACTGAGGGTACAAATGTGTCTCACTTCCCTTCTCAGCCCTGTTTTAAACTCCTGAGTGTACCACAGATTTGTCCTGGCTGAAACACCTTCCTCTTCTTCTTTGGTTCCTGGTGAAATTCATGGAAGTTCTTTTTGGTGGGGATTTTCCTGCCTTCAAAGGAGGTAATAAGATGTTGAGAATGTGGGTCTGGGGCTGTGTTTGCCGAGCCAGGAGGCAGCAGCTCTGCCTCTGGGTGGTGATTTCTGTTGAGGAAATGGACCAGGTGGGGTAACGTTGCAGTAGAACACAAGGCAAGACGCAATGAGGTGGCTTGAAGTCGGAAGAGAGAGGAATAGAAAGCGTTGAAGAGGTTTCTGGAGCCAATGACTCATTAATTTATGAAAGAAGACATCTCCAACAGGAAATTCATAGGAACTCTCACAGAATTAGGTGTTTAAACCTCATCTACTGGTCTGTGGTCTAATCCGTAGAACATCTGAGCCACATTCCCATTTCTATTTTAGAGTGCACAACTGCTGGAGTTGTTAAATCTTATTAAATCAGCCCAGACTGCTGGGAGTTGTAATTGTCAGTTTTTATGCCCTGTGTAAAGGCTTATTAAACTAGAGGCTTCCATAATTGTATCTGAGGCACTTTCTCCCAGAGCACAGGCAAACAACTACGAAAGCCAAGGTGCTCAGCGCTTCCCCTTCTTTTATGCTTGGTCTTAGAGGACCAAACATATGGTTGATTTTGACCCTCCAGCAAAATAATGAAATGAAGTAATTTCTGCATGATTAGCTACATTTTATGGTGACTATACTGGCTTAATAATGAAGAAAAGCCATATGCACGCAGGCTTCCTTGTGGATGTAGATTAGGAAAATGGGGGGAAGCAAATGGCTCACTATGAGGCTGGAATGTTGAATTTATGTTATTGCTGTTCTACTCCAAACGAGAGACGGTGGCTGCAGGAACTGCTAATCAGCTCAGGTAATAAGCACTGTGATGACTTAGCCTCCATTTCCTTTCCCAAACAGAAGGAAACAGCAACACTACACAGCCTTGTAATTACCCACAAGAGCCCAAGAAGCTGATAAAAATGGAAATCATGATGGAATCAAATAACAACCTAATTTTTCTATTTTCAGCTGACATTTGCAGAAGGTTGTAAGCTAACTTTGTTCTCAACTTTTTTTTAGAATTGTAAAAACTGTATTGGTGCTTGACAACCCCTATTGTTACAGACCTCCCGTTCTTCTGATCTGTTGACAATTGGATTATTTATTGACATCTTTTACTTTTTTGTTTTTAAAATATCTCTGGGGTAGATGAGTTAGTTAAAATTTAGTAGTCAGCAAGCTTTTACATAAAATGTTGTTCCTGATGGTCTGCCTTATTCTTTGGTAGTTCTGTTTATCAGATACTGTCTCTAGTTTATTTTTTATTCCTTTTGCTGATATTCTTATTTTGACATTTTACTTGGTAGATGCTTGAAAGAAAACATACTAACTTAGTTGACTATAAACACAGCATTTGTTTTTTGTTAGCATAAGATTTGCTTAGTTTACCTTAATTTGTTTTCCCTTCTGTTTAATTTATTTAATTCCATGTTTTATTACAGCATTTGTTTTTTGTTAGCATAAGATTTGCTTAGTTTACCTTAATTTGTTTTCCCTTCTGTTTAATTTATTTAATTCCATGTTTTATTTTATTTTATTTATTTTTTGCCATGCTGGGGACCGTGTGAGGCAAGTGCTCTGTGTTGAGCTGCACACCTCTCTCTTTGGGTTTCAAGGGTCTCTGCTTTGACTGAGCTTCAGTGGATAAAACCTCCTCCAGGGCAAGACAGCCCTGAGGCGCTGGGTGAGGCTGTGTGTTTGGCTTGGGACAGAGTAAGGGGCTGTTGGGTTGCAAACCCCAGATGGTGCTAAAAAAGAGTGATGGGGAGACCATGATGAAGCAGCCCTGAGCAGGACTTAAATTAACCAATGGGTTTTTTATGTTTACTTGTGAATCTGTCTAAAGCCTAGGCTGCTTGTTTGGAGTGGGTGACGGACTTATAGTAAGTGAACCTCTGTGAGTCACTGATCCCTACTAAACCCTGTAGTGGGGGATGAAGCTGGAAAGCCTCAAAGGATAAGACAAGATCACAGCCAAGGACCCCTGGATCCGATCTCAACTAGATAAACACTGTAGCCTCAGGCATCTCACTCCTGGGTGGATTAATTTAATATCTTGCTTAGAGAAGTCCTGGAGTGATTCTGCCCTTCCTGAGTACTCCTCTACCTTCTTCTGAAAACCAAATAAATAAAGGCCACCCAGAGTAGGTCTTGGTCTTATCCCTGAGAAAATCTCAAATTCTGTGAGAGGGCTTTGATCCTCCTGTAGCCCTGAAATCATTTCATTTTTGTCTCTTTATTTAGCCTTCGCCATACACTTGTTTGGGAGATTTCAGACCTGATCAGCCTGCAATAACTAAGGGATAATTTAGCCCAATAAATGAGAATTTGTTTCTTCTCCACAAAATTGTCACTACATTTCTTTGCAACATATCATGTTCTTAATAATTTGGGTATAAGCTAGAAGCCCTGGGATGCTCCCAGTGGGGAGGGAACATTCACACATGAAAGGGAATGTCTAAAACCCCTCTACCATCCACCACCCCGACCACCGTGTGTCACCACACCCACCTTCTACTCTGGAGGTAGCTTTTATATTGAATTTTGTGGTAATGTTTTTCTTGCTTTTGTTTACAACTATACCAGTCACATATAAATATTATGCAAAATAAGTTATTTTGCCTGTTTTGAAACTTACATATGTGGCTTATACCGGTTGTATCTTTTTATCTTGTTCCTTGAAACAATGTTTTATTTACAAGTTTTATCCCTGTGTTGTGTGTAACTGGCTCGTAGTGCTCTGTGGTGTACCATGGTGACTTCACTGTGACTCCTTCAATCTTTTGTAGGGGAACATTGGGTTTTCCAGGTTTGGCTTTTAGGAGCCCTACTGCAGTGTCTTAGTTACTTTTTTTGTACTAAGACAAAACACCCAACACCCAAAGTTAAAGGAGGAGAGGTTTACTTGGTTCACAGCTTATAGAGGTTTTGGTCCATAGTTGGCTGGCTGCAAGGCAGGGGGGTTTGGCAGAGGGGCATTGCCGAGGAGAATGTCGGGATCAAGGAGGCTGAAGCAGTAAATTCATGTGTGAGGTCCCCAAAGAAAGCACACACAGGCAGACATCAGCAACACAGCAGCAGCAGGCAGCCAGGCAGAGAGGAGCCGCCTGCATCTTCACTGGTTAACTCTTATACAGGTCCTTTATCACACATTTACCTTCCTGTATAATGGCATAAGCAGCGCATGCCTCTACCTGTGCTGAGTGATGGCTACGTAACTGTACCCCACTTTGTGCCTTCTCTGGACAGTGGGGTCATGTCCTCAAAACCGTCCAGATGAGTCCGTACATGCCCTGAACTTTGGAACTTTGGAGCAGTACCCCAGATCCCATGTCCCCAGAGGTTGGGGATATATAAACGTAACATTTTATGTGCAACAGGGAACAAGTACCCCCCTGCATTGTAGTTAACAAATCAAGAACCATGTGGTTTTGCAAAACAACCTTTTCCATCTGAGAAGTTTTATCCAGAAGCAACAGCAAAGCCTGGTGCATAGCATTCAGAGCGTGGGCCGTATGTTGAGCAAGGGCTTCAACTTGAAAGGCTAGGTCTATGGTCCCTGCCCCTGGTCAGACACTATTCCTAGTGGCATCCTATGCACAGCAGTCGATGGTTTTTTCTAGTCAGATGCTGTTCCTAGCAGTCAACCACTGCAATGCCTGGTCAGGGCACCTGTTAAGTCATTTCTCGACAAGAGGAGGTCAGGGCACCTGTTAAGTCATTTCTCGACAAGAGGAGGGGCTTAGGTCCTGAAACATGGTACACCACGTGGTCAGTTTTTTGGCCACACTCCCATATGTCTAACCATAGGTTGGCACCCCACAAGGGACAGTGCCCTATCTGTCACTCTTGGGCCACCCAAGTCAGCATACAGAGTGTCAGCTCCCTAAAGATGGCCCAACTGTCCATGTACACATGTAGGGGCCTTTTTCTATACATCACAAGTACTCACACTGTGTAAAACTCTGCCGGTGGGCTTGACTTGCCTGTTCAGGTTTCAAACCAGAGTACTTCCATACTGGGCTGGACAGTGAGAGCTGTCCATTGAGATACTGTGCCATGGCTAGACCCATCAGTCTACCGGGCACCAGCCAGATGATGTCTTTTCTTTTGTGTAGGGACTAGGACTCCATCCCCCCGGACGGGTTCCTGGACAATGTACATCACAGCTCCCCACTCTGTTGCTAGTTTGGCTGCTGATAGGTGAGCTGACAGAGACCCACTGTGGAGGTACGCCTGAGAGCAGGGGCCTGTGCCATTCCACTCCTGGGACAGGACATCCATATCTGTTCCCAGCCCTCTACTGGGTGTGTACTTTTACTGTCTGCTGTCCTGTGATCCTCACAGGCATGTAGAGCAGCATACATTGCTGCTAACTGCATGCTACTAAGGGGTACCAGCTCTCAGCTCCCTTCCACAACTGTGGCCAAGACCTAACAGGGTGTTCTTGCTTTTCCTGTTTTTTCCATAAGCCCCAGCCAAATCCCGTGTCATGCACATTGACTGTAGGGTAAATGGCAGGGTAGGGTCACTGACTCGTAGGGGTTACACGGGTGCAACTGCCCTCTTTGAGTCCTGAAAAGCAGCTTCCGCTGCATGTATCTAGTCCCATGTCATGCTCATTTTAGTTATCTGGTAGAAAGGACATAGAAGGGCAGCTAGGTAAGGTAAACGCACCAAAAACCTAGCAAGCCCGTGTATATCTGTAACCGGTGTACTGTCCTGGGTCTGGGGTATATTTGGATCTTAACAGTAACAGCATAGGGAATTACCCTTGTCTTACCTGTCCAGATAACACCCAAGAATCTGATAGACAAGCCAGGTCCCTGGACCTTATCTTCATGCATGGTCCACCCCTAGGCCTTCAGGGTGTGTGTGGCAGCATCCAAATCTGCAGTGCAATCAGAGGTTAACATAGATCATCAATATAATTAAACAGTGACACAGAATGTGCGACAGACAGTCTTGAAATTGGGAGAAAGTGGTGAAACGCCCTGCACAGAGCCCTTCAGTATGGCCTGTGCAAAAGCCAGATGGGTCTTGGCAAATGACTGTAAGGTCTCACCCTGACACTGACAGGACCAATTTTCTTTCACCTGGGAGGTTGGGCAATGGACTATCCAGATGTTTCCACAAGGCTGTTTGCATAGCCTGACTTTGTGGCATGGCCTGGTGGCCCAGGACCTGGCCAACTGGGCCAAGCCACACTCGGTGTCACTGTCACATTATATTGATGATTTATGTTAACCTCTGATTGCACTGCTTGCAGTGTGGATGTCCTCAGACTACAGCTTTTATCACGTGAATTTGTAAGTGGAGTTCCCCCTGCGTGGTGTGGAGCTGAGCACCAGTCAGTATGTCCACCTCCAGGATATTTCGGCAACCAGGGAAACACAAACATCAGGACACGGCGCAGAGCCTTGGACATCCTGGAAGTCTTACTGCCTGAGCCCCAGGGACCAGTTTAGCTCTGGCAACACTGAGACCCTGTGGCTTGCTCAGAGCGGGTTGGGCTCCTCTCTGGTTTATCATGGTGGTGTGCAGCCCAAGCATCAGCATCACGTGGCTGCCTTGGGCTGCAGCAGACGCCTGGCCTAAGTCTAAGTCCCTGGGTGGCACGGGAGCTCCCAGCACCAGCCACCAGTCCTTTGCACCCTGGCTCCATGCCACGAGCACATCTTTCCCCTGCAGGACTGTCCCTTTTGTGCTGATGCTTGTGCTTGTGTTTGTTGGAACTTTTGTGCCAATGCACCCTTCTGGGATGTCCCATCTAAGCCAGCAGCCAGCAGGTTTGTCCAAATCTGGTGCCAAATGAGCTACTGTGGTCCCATAGCCTGTCTGTGGGGGTTGGCACTGCTTGCCTGGGGCGCCCACCTTAGTCTCACCAGTCCCGGTAACCCCATGACCGTGTGGATGGGTAAGCATGGCAGTCATTTTGGTCCCCTCAGCCCACCTCCATGAGGCAGGGGCTACTCTATTGCCACCTTCTGGTGAATAGCAGGCATGCAGCAATACCAGGGGACTTTTCTGGAAATGGGAATTGATGCTTTGAGAGAAGGTGGTACTTCCTGTGTCCCACAACTGGGCTCCTGGGGCAGCCAGCCATTGTTGTAGGTCATCCTCAGTCTATTACACTGGCACTTCTGGGGCATCCTGCAACCCTTGCTGTTGTCCCTGTAGCTGGTCTAGCTGCAGCGGGGGCTGTCACTCCTTGGGTGCTGGTCCAGTGTTGGCAGAAAGTGGCGGAGGAGGCGGCCACTGCACTCCTGTGCCCCTCTGCTTCCACACATCTGTGCTCCCGCACACCCTGCCCATGTCCTACTACTCACTGTTGCCCTTGGTGGTGGTGGGCAGGGGTTTCCACTTGGAGTTCACTGCTCTTTTGAACTTCTTGCATTTCCATTTCTTGGGCCTTTTGGGGTTCTCCCCCTTGAAGCTTCCTCATCAGGATCAGCCCCAAGCCGCTCTGATGATGACTACAGGTAACCGAGGTGAGGCCGGGAGGCATGGTGACACCTCCTTTCTGGGGCTTTTCCTCGTTGTTGTTTCCACAGATACCAAGGAGGGGACCCTCTGTGTTTCCTGTGGACCTGTTTATCCTGCCGACCTCACCACTGTTGAGGTTGAGGAGGCTGAAGCAGTAAATTCATGTGTGAGGTCCCCAAAGAAAGCACACACAGGCAGACATCAGCAACACAGCAGCAGCAGGCAGCCGGGCAGAGAGGAGCCGCCTGCATCTTCGTTGGTTAACTCTTATACAGGTCGTTATCACATATTTACCTTCCTGTATAGTGCCATAACCAGTGCACGCGTTTCCCTGTGCTGAGTCATGTTACATAACTGTATCCCATTCTGTGCCTGCGCTACACAGTAGGGTCAAGTCCTTAAACTGTCCAGAAGCTTCCTTACTGCTGGAGTTTTGGGCACTTTGAAATAGTACCCCACAAAAAACAGCCCCTGGCAAAGGAGGGCAGGCAGAAGAAAGCAAGCCAACACACCAACAGTGACAATAGCAGCTTCTTTCTGTCCCTTTTACAGTCTGTCTAGGCTACCAGGCCTACGGTGGGTGTCAAATCAATCAGCAGACTGACTTAGTAATCCCACAACCTTGATTCCAGCAACACACACTCTAGATCCAGCCACTTCTGGAAAAGCCCCACCTATGACTGCATGAGGCCTTACGGGACACCTAGACACAGCCATAGCATGCAGTGAATACTCTTTTCACATCTGCAAGCACACATGTGCAAACTCCTTAAGGTTTATTCCTTGGAGTGAAGTGGGTGGGCACCGTGGTTTGCCTGTGTCCCACAGAGGTTTGTGTGCTGG